CTTTATTGCAACCTTGGAAAAGCAGTGCACTAGTAAAACCATCACAGCTATGTCTTCTTTGAATACTCTCAAGAAGTATAAAAAGACCAAGAAATACAATTCCTATTATGGACATCTCAAACGTATTTTGAGTTTGACACACTTCCAGCAAGCAAGCTACCTGACAGCATTCAGACAGGAATCTGGTATCAAAATCTATACTGGTATGTTGAGTCTGAGGAGAGCAGAGAAAAGCATTTCCACTCTGAATCTGGAACAGAAAGAGGGTTTATGCAGCCTTCCGGAGACTAGGGCAGGAGAAGGTTCCCACAAGAAGAGAAGAAATGGTGGGTGCAGGGAGTAGATGTCTTTCCTCCCCCTCCCAAAGCACAGAAGTACATTCTCTATGGCTGTCAAACAAATCTCTTTATCTGATTTTTGTAAGAGGGAGCCCTGCAAAGACCAGAAGGGAAACAGGACTGGTCCTGAATTCACAATCCAAGAGGAAATAACTTCCAGAACCTATCTGTCAGTTGCTATTCTATTTCAAGTGAACAGAAAAAAAGAATCTTGCATCTGCTGATCAGCCCCTGGCGATGGCTTTTGCCCAGCTGAAATACACTGAAGGACTCTTGTAGTTACTCTTTACACAGTGAGAAGGGTCATCAGTACAGCACAGACACAGCTAAAAGACTGTTATTAAGAGACTACAGTCTCCAGCTGATTAGGCAGATCTGCATCTGAAGTGGTTGCCTTTGGTATATATAAGCCTTTTTCCCTGTCCTTTGTTGTGACTACTGAAGAAAATACTTGTTTTTCCTCTTTCTCTGAGTTTGTTTATTTTGTTGGTTTACTGGTACCAAGGAAGGGGAAATCACAAAACCAAACTCCTCTCTTACCTATTATGTCAACAGTTTTCTAAATTGAAGTCATACAATATTTTGATCTTGAGAAGTTTTACTTCCCAAGAACACAGCACAGTCCGAAAAACGAATGAGATTTCATCCTGAAAAACAGACTGCTAAAGTTGCACACAACTGTGAACAGATACCTTCTTTTTACCATAAGGTAATATAGAGCTCCATGTCTTAAGACTGACTCCTATCTATTACACTGAAGCACAGAAAGGAACAGGAGGCCAGAAGTGCTCTGCTGAGCTTCTCAAACTTCTCTGCCACAGTTGATCAAATACTCTTTCATCTCACATGTTATGTGGTACATCTGCAAAGAAAGGAAACTAGGTCTTGTTGCTGAACTGCCTGGTTCCCATGTGCTCACACAGCCTGTCCAAGAACAGGGTAACATCTCTGCTGACTTTGCTTGAACCTGCTGAAGGACTCTGCAAAGAGCCAAGTTACATGTTGCTGATTCTTTGCCTGAGTATAGATTAGACAAATCCACCAATACTTCAAATTGGCAGTGGCATTGCCTCTTATCTAGAGCACTCTACAAGCCAGGGTTAACGTAAGGTCAAAGAGGTGATTTCTTTAAAGGATGCATCATTACCAAAACAACTGTTCCTTGGTGTAGAAATTCTCCCATGAAAAGTTCAGGAGAAGTAAAATGCTGGAAGAGTGGGGAAAAAAAATCTCTAAGACCCTAAGGACATAAATCTTCCTAGGGAGCCAGCTGCAGCATCTGCCCCTCTTCACACCGCATGTGAGAGCAGTAAGCTGAACTAGTAACACTTTCAAAGTTGGTATCAACACAGCTCCTCAGTCAACTCTGTTTCGTAAAAAGAGTTTGTCACTTAGCATCCACAAATACCCTCCATGAACTGTATACTTTTAACATGTGTCAGCTATCCAAAAGACAATTATGATCTGTTAGTAATGCAAACTAAACCTGGCTCCATGTTCTCCTTGCTCCTCTCCAACATGTTTTCTCCACCTAACCGTTGGCTAGATTTGTAAACTTCATCTCATTCAGATACTAAATGACCTATTTGCTTGCACTAGCTGCACAAACACAATTCTCCATCTGTCTCACCAGCACAAACTCCTAACAGACTTATCACTATTTCCAGCATCACGAGAGATACCTTGAACTGACACAAGATACAAGCCCACAGAACTGCAAAAGAAGGACAATGAGAATATGAGGAGGGAAGAAAACAATAAAGTATTTTATTAATTTTTTTCTGTCAATTTACAGTATGCCCAACCCCTTCTATACAAAGCAGTAAGGAGGCAGTATAGTGAAAACACTGAAGAACACTGTACAGATTCCATTATGGAGACTTAGCTAACAAAAATCTCTGGTGCTTTTTAGTTTCGACAAGGTAACTTCATGTCTTGGGATGGCTGTTCCAGGGGTAAGTCTTTTCTCACAAATCTACTACAAATATATCTGATATTATTTAACTTACCAGCTCCAGCTTACAAAATTAATTATCAAGAAGTTTCTTCAGAGAATGTCTAATCACAGTTACAACCGTTTTCTATTTGGCTGCATTCAGTAACATTCAGTAGATGCTTAAAAGTAGTTTTAAATGACATTTCACCAATATGGCATTAGTTTAGCAAAAGTCACTTCATATACAAACTGTTAAAGTACCAACACTTTCCTCTGAATACTGTAAAGCAATCTATGTAAGGCAACAGAAAAATTTTTCATGCTGAAGTGCAGCTGAGGGCACTCTTTAGCTAGATGACTGACAACTTCCCATTTCAGTACAGTTGCTCTGTATTAGGCCATACATAGACTTGGAGACAAAGGATGCTTGAGACAATAAAAATCAGAATTTCCTGTAAAAGTTGATAGTACTTCTTTGGCAGCAGCAGTCAGCCTATCTAGAGAGTATTTTCAAATTCAAACTAGGATAAAGAGGGCTGAGAGGTATGCGGTCTATTAGTGTCCTGGTACACAAGAGCATGAAAAGCAGAAGTCAGCAAGATTTGTTGTGCCACCATTTTCAGATAAGGACAGGTAAAACAAGGAGGGTAGAAACAGGACAGCTGTTTTCACTAGAAGAGTTACACAGTGTACACTAATACAAATTGCCATTCTGTTAACCAAAGTATTAAATCATTCTTCTCTATCAAGTTTTATTCAGACAATCACAGGTGAGAAAAATTAAAACACTTGTAAATACTTCAAATAGCTGGTGAAATACTTTGAGAATATTTTTAAATTAGTAAAGGGTCTCAATCTGCATAAGTAATTTCTCACTCAAATATGAGCTTCACAAAGACTATTTACACACTTGACCAAATAAATGAAGCACCTCTGTATTCTTAACTGTGTAACAGTCCTACAAAAGAAAACCCTACAAACCAAAGCATAGAACATCAGTGTCACTCTTGATAACTGTACTTCCAGGAAATTTTGAGACTTGGCCTCTACCATATCTTGCTAGAACCTGTGCATTTTTGGGGAGAGGTTGGAGGGTAGATTGACTACTAAAGAAAGCAATTAAATTCCTCTACGATCAATTTACTATCCATGAAAATAAGCAAAACAAGCAAATCAACCTACCTTGCAATTCACTTTTAATAAGGCAACTCTCCATCATATATAACAGAACAGTGACCATAATATCCAGCAGCTGACATTCTTCTGTTACTTGACGTGCTAGCTCTTCATTGCTGAACAACTGAACACTGATATGCACAATTCTATTAGACATTGTGTCGGATTCATGGCTTTTCTTCAATGTTTTCATAATAAAAGCATAATGCTGAACAAAAGTTTTTGTAAAAGCAATCTGTAAATTACAAAGAAATTGTGATGTTAACAAGCACCATACAAAAAAAAAAATAAAAAAAAAAAATCACAGCTTGCTTTCATTATAAAACAATCCTTTACAAAAATACTATCAGCATACCCTGGGAAACACCAGTTGCTATGACAAACCAAAACTGATGGTCTAAGTATCCTATGTCTAATTTTGAGAAACAGCCCACATGAAAAGACCAATCTATAGACAGGGGTAACTGCCTCCAATTTTACTACCTTATCCCAAAATCTAATCTTCTCATTCTATACTTTCCACATTAAAAAACAAACAAAAAAACAAAAACAAACAAAAAAAAGCCAACAATAAAAAAAAGCAGGAATATAAAGTCTCAGCCTACCTATAAAAGCAGTAAAGGTCTAATAATTAATTAATCCTAATTTTTTTTCATCCTAAACCAGGGACTGATGTCCTAAAAATGATACACCATGAACAGCGAGATTAGTAGTACCTAATACAGCTGCCTTATCACTTTGCATTCATTTACCCATGGAGTGAGATTTTCATTCATCTGTCAAAGATGACATCTCAACACTGAATTCCACTTGCTATCACAACATCCTATATTCTTTTAATAAACTTTTAGCACTTTCTCCCCAATAATAAAAAAAAAAAAAAAAATTAAGAAAATAGCAAGCTTTGCTATTCTTCACCAAATGTTTGGGGTTTTTTAAACCAGGTATTTAAATGTATCAATACATGTAGATATAAATCTTAGTGTAATTTCCTGTCCCACTCTATTAGCCTCAAATTGATTTGCAAACCAACCTTTTGCCCTGCTTACATATTGTGTGCATATCTGCCAGCTTTGAACTCACTTCTCAGTACTTTAAGTTCCGAATTAACACCATCTGGACTTGCTTGGCTTCATAAGAAGAGATAATACAACCTGTGTAGCACAGAAAATTTTCAGCCCAAAGTCTAAAATCCCCTGCCTTTTCCTTCTGGGAATATTAACCTTTTATAAGCTTAAAATCAGAAATATGAAAACCAGCCTCAGACAGCTGTGTTTTCACCAGACTGCATACAAATCAATACTTCATTTTTCCTGCCTCAGACTCAGTGCTCCCATATTTTTATTACAGCACTACCAAGTTATTCTCATTTCAAAAATATTTCCAAAAATATCAGGATGCCATAACACTGTTGTTGGACACAAAGACTGCTTCTTCCAGCAAATACCTCAAAAATAAAGTTGCTCATGCAAAAACCAGACCAGGATGGTGATGGGGATGTCACTGCAGGAAACACTACAACACAGCTTAACTTGCCTTCCTTTAACTGGTCCACAATGATGGAAAACACTATAATAATTGAGTGCCTTCTACATACGGCACACAGCTCAAGGGTAATTATTTTCAGCTAAAGCTTTCTTGGAACAACATTTGCTCAATACCTTTATACAGTTAATACAGTATCATTCTATTATACGATTTCTTTTAAATTAAAGCTTGATACAATTTTAAGCGCAGGCAATGACACTTAAAACAAACATTACGATATTTACGCTATTAATGTTACGTCTCAGACACAAATGATACATTTGATATTTTAAGAAGTTAGCATATTAATGCTGCCAGTAAAAAAAAAGTATACTTTATTTCTGTATTACTTCTTCACACCGTATAATGTTTAGATAGGATTCTCAGGTTCTGAGATGTAGGAACTACATTTTACTTGTTAAACAGAGTGCTCAAGATGATTGTAAAAATATGGTCCTTCTCAAAGGACAAATTTTGGTTGTATTTATTTATTTAAAATCAGCACTCATCAAAACTTTTTGTGCTTTGTGTATAATAGTGAATTTCTAAAAGTACTGTAGATTCACTATCAATATAGTATAATGATAGAGACTCCATAATACACTTAAATAAATGACACAAGCTTTATTCCTATGTTCACTTTGAAGCTAAACAAACACAATCCTTTCCAATCTTGAGAGTGTCGTGGTTTAAGCCCAGCCGGTAACTCAGAACCACACAGCTGCTCACTCACTCTCCCTGTTCCCAGAGGGATGGGAAGGAGAATCGGAGGAATGTAACTCCCATGGGTTGAGATAAGAGCACTCCAGTAACTAAGGTATAATACAAACCACTACTGCTACCACCAATAAAAATAATGATAAGGTAAATAACAAGGGGAGAGAATACAATTGCTCACCACCCACCGACCACTACCCAGCCCAACCCGAGCAGCGATCTGGGCCTTCCGGGTAACTCCCCCCAGTTTATATACTGGGCATGACGTGCTGTGGTATGGAATAGCCCTTTGGCCAGTTTGGGTCAGGTGTCCTGTCTCTGCTTCCTCCCGGCTTCCCCTCCTCCCTGGCAGAGCATGAGACTGAGAAAGTCCTTGGTTAGAGTAAACATTACTGAGCAACAACTAAAACCATCGGTGTTATCAGCTTTGTTCTCAGACTGAAGTCAAAAACACAGCACTGCACCAGCTACTAGGAAGGAGAAGAATAACTGCTACAGCTGAACCCAGGAAAGATAGGGAGAAATTATCCTTTCCACAGTTAAAACACTGAAATACTGTGGCAAACTGCATTTCATATATAAAAATAACCATAGTAGGCCAAATCAGGCCATCCAGCTCAGTATCCTATCTTTGAGTTGCCAAAGCTATATATGTAACTAAGGAAAAATGAAGAATGGAACAAGAATGCAGATATTTACATAACATGTCTTTCCAAATACTTACTCAGCTTCCAACCATTTGCAAGTGGCTTCCTAAGACATGTTTTCTGTACATTTAATTACCTTCACTAATTAACTCTGTAAGAATTTATGCAGCTTCTAAATTTCTAGCCTATGCAAAAACAAAGTTATTTTTTTCATCTGGCCTTTTGTCTTGGCGGCCACTCAATGATCCCAAAACTTCTAGAAGCCTAACATCAACCCCATGTTTTAGTTCGAACTTCCATCTCCCATATTTATCTTCTCAATGCAAAGAAACAGATAACTCTGCCAGGTGAGAGCCATGATAAAACTAAATTTCCAATAGAAAAAATATTCTACAGAATCCGTAGAACAGCATATCCAGAGGTTAGTGAAGTCCTATTGCTGTAATAGCTGCCTCAATGTTCACTATGGGAGGTGCCTGACGAGGCACTGCATTTCTGATAATTGTTTGTTGATTAATTATCTCTACCAGATGCTTCTGCATTTCTCTACTTCTACTTTTCCAGATTTCAGCAGGGCTCTGCTCTTAGATGATTTACACTCTTCCATCAGCTTCCTTCTTTGCTTTCTCCTTGGTCATGTGAAGGTCAGTTTTATTTCTCTGGCCTTTTGTTTTATCTCTTGTCAGAAACCTTGCCCATGCTGTAACACCTCTATTTTCCTAGAAGGTCTGGTAAATTTCTCTTCTGTTTTCTTTTTCTTCACTTGTAAGTCTTCAAAGCTTCAAATGTCAGACAGTGCTGGAACAGATGCCTTGGGCACAAATCCTGTAAGGCAAAGACCACATCGTTATGTGCTGTCTCTCCCAAATGCAAAAGGTGGAAGGGGGGAAGTTAACCCAGGGTTTTGGCCCACCCCTTTTCAATACTGGGAATCCTAAAAAGAGAAGTTTGTGCTCCTATTTAAAAACGAATCTGTGCAACAGAGATTGCTGGTGGCTCACTGACTGCTGCACATAGCGCAGTGGATTCAGTCAGCTCTACTGTGTTTACGCCAGAGGCCAGAGATTTCAGCAATTTCAGAACACACACAGGTAGCCAGCTCTGAGCTCTGTGTCTGGCTAGCTTGCTCAGTTTATCAGAAAACCTACCTAGCAGAATTCTGCTGATTTAGCTCATTAAATCATGATTGGAAATTATTTAATGAGCTAAACCAGCTCATGAGGAATCAGACCAACTGCACAAAAGCAGAGACAGAAAAAAAACGTGGTGTAGATGGGATGGGAGAAAGTAGCAGAGAGCTGAGAGATCACCTGGAACTATCTATATCCCTCCAGGTGTTCCTACTGTTTTGAGAAATCATCATGATTAAACAGCAAACAAGCTTTTCCTTCATAAAAGCTAAAGAGAAGCTTGAAAGACAAAACATTCTTCTAATTCATCCCAAAATGGTATGTTTTCTCTGTACACTGGTAAGAGGCAGAGCCAGTCCCCGTAAATGAGCCACAATCCTCATAGACACGATACAAATTCATGCGTCACTGACACAATTTTGCAACAAAGCACAGGTACCTTGGGAAAAAATGGTGTTACTGCCTCCCTAATATTGCTGTGTGATACACTTCCTGCTCTGAGTTTCCTTACTACTGAAAAACACCTTTTAGTCACAGCAATTAAAAACTCAACACAGATTCTAAAAGATTCCAAATGCTTAGGATTTGTGGTAGGAATAAAGGTTGTACATAGAAATTAACTGTTTTAATCAAACACAGTATGAAATTGGTAACAACACAAAACATTATTAAACATTATTGTGCTGACAAGTGAAAGATGGATTGATTTCCAGACATAAGTGGCAGCCATTAGAGAGCATTAGAGAACATTTATTGGAGCAAGTCCAGAGGAGGGCCATGTGGATGGTAAGAGGACTGGAGCACCTCCCTTATGAAGACAGGCTGAGAAAGTTGGGGCTGTTCAGCCTGGAAAAGAGAAGGCTGAGTGGAGACCTCATAGCAGCCTTCCAGTATCTGAAGGGGGCCTACAAGGATGATGGGGAGGGACTCTTCATTAGGGACTGTAGTGGTAGGACAAGGGGTAATGGATTTAAACTTAAACAGGGGAATTTTAGGTTAGATATAAGGAAGAAGCTCTTTACAGTGAGGGTGGTGAGGCACTGGAGTAGGTTGCCCAAGGAAGTTGTGAATGCTCCAACCCTGGAGGTGTTTAAGGCCAGGCTGGACAGAGCCTTGGGCGACATAGTTTAGTGTGTGGTGTCCCTGCTCATGGCAGGGGGGTTGGAACTAGATGATCTTAAGGTCCTTTCCAACCCTAACTCTTCTATGATTCTATGAAACTAAATATAACATGATCTCTTTCCAAGTACATAATGAAGGAAGACTATGAACACAACGAAGAAAGCCACTGAAGACTGTGGCTTGTTGTCAAAGGAAAGAAGACCTCATAATCATTAACATGTGTTGTTATTATGCAGTACAGTAAAAAGGTAAACTTAGCAACACTTACCAGATTCCTCTGCATGCTACCAACAGTTGGGTGTTTTTACAGGCAGGCGTTTAGTTGGCAATGGATCAGGAGAACTGTATGTCCACACGGGTCTCCAAATATGAAGCTTCATGACAAGGGATCATCAGTTAAGATAGTCCTCACATCTCCTCATGTAATAGCTGAATCCAAGACCAAGACGAATCTGTGCTGGCAGCCCAAATCAAACTGCTGTCTTGACCTGGACAGAATATTGCTGAAAGACCGTATCTTATCATTTTCTTCCTTCCAAGTTATCTTCATATCCTTTGCTTTGATATAGCAGCGTTTTAAGGGGGCATGAATAAAGGGCTGTCCTATTATAAATAGACATCTTTGAAGAAATCTGCATGCCTGGACTTCAGGATTTCTTCATCTTTGCAAATCCCCAGCAGGAATCGAGAAGGTCCAAAATATTTGCATGGCTTAAAGGTATGACATGATCAGAGCAAAATGTTAAGCCTGATTGCTATGTATACTAGGTCTCGGGAACATGTAGAGCAAACAACCAAACCTGGCTGCACACCAAGATTCAAAACAGGAAGATGACATCCAGTATCCATGACTCCATGCCAGGAGACACTTGGTACGGACAACTGCAAAGCTCTGTAAGGAAGCACCTGGAAGGCTGCCAAAAGCACCTAGGGCATAGCTGCAGCAAGAACACTCACACTGTAATGGTCTATACGGAGAAACCACTGCCTATGACAGCTGCAACAGGAACAAAGTCACTGCAATTATTTACCAGTCATATCACACTACAGAATCATTCAGTGCTGATCCACATCTTTTACCTGATAAAAACCTAATTTACAAAGTAAAATAAACCAAAATAAGGTCCAACACATGCAAATAAGTACTAACAGCCAAAAAGGAAAAAAACAAACCGTGAGACCAAAATTAATACTGCTGCTCCAGAATTATCCATCTTGTTTTGTTCACTTTTCTCTTCAAATACTATACACTTTAGACCTTACAACAGAATACTCAAAACAATATAAAAATATCTGCATTTTACTGCTTATTATTCAAATATAGACATATGGTCTCATGCAAGGCACAGTAAGTATGAAAGTAAGTAAAGACATTTTAAGTTTGAATGAAGTAAGGCGAGTACCTTATAATCTTGATCTGGCAGCATGTTGAGTAAGAAAGTCACCATCTTCTGTGGAAACTCGTATTTTATTGTCCAAAATAATAATTCTTCTAGAAAACATTTATGCTTCAAAACATCCATGATAGATTGATCTGCATAAAAGGTTGGAGGAGGGGATGTGTAATGTAATAATCACGAAAACTAAAAGCAATGGCAGTGCAGTTGCACTGTCTTGCATAAAACTCAGTAACAAAAATCTAAGAACATCTTTGTGCACTCTGTAAATATTTATTTTTCTAAAAAAACTCAGGGAAGATGAACATGGCCAACACTGCAGTGTCAGTCTATAACAATAAAAAGGACCTTGCAGAGAAGCCAATGAAAATATTTCATACAATTCTACCACACAGAGTCTAGTCTTCACTGTTTGCATTGAATCACATCACCTTACTGTAATAGCTCCACCGACTGTAGTGAATCACAGCAATATGCACAATATTTACAGAGCCGCTTAATTGAGGGAAACTATTCCTATAGACTACTCTTTAACTTAAGTTAAGAAAGCAAAACAACAAAATACAATTTGATTAAGTGATGAGTTCTATCACCTAAGAACACATTCTGTTTATAAAGCTCTAAACAAGCAAAATAGAAGCAATAACGTATCAGTTATTTTTAAAGCAACGCATGTTCTGACTGACCAACCACACAGTTGTTAGATGGCTATTGTTTGGGGTTTTTTTTAAACGGAAAAATTCCCATAATCAGATAATCAGGCACTAGCTCCTGATGGTACCAGAAGAGAGAGTCTCATCTTTCCCCATTCAGCTCCTGGCCATTCACTCTGACCCCTACTCATGCTGACAGTACATCCCTGTAGGGTACCTATGTAGGAATCAAGCCATCTTTCTATTCTGTCAGTGACGTTTTTAAGCATATCAGTTTCCCAATTGCAAAGCTGCGGAAACTGACCTCTGCTAGAATAAACTGCCCATGAAACTATGGCTTGACAAAGCATAAATCGTATTAACTCCATTTAAAATAATACAGTAAAACACTGAGTCTTTATCATCATTCTTCTAAGAGATTATTTATAATTTAAAACTACAACAGCTATTGTTCACTCCTGTAACCTGTAAGGACTAAAAGAAAAATAACGATAATAATGCTCCTTTACACCTAGAAATAGATTAGACCTGGGACATGCGCACACACACATGAACCCCCCCAAATGCCATATTCCAATGGGACTGTGTTCCCATCAGCACAGACTCAAAACACTTAAGCTGAACATCATCTAGCCTTGAAGACTTGCCACTTCACTGAAGTAGGACAGCTTCAGGCACTGCACTGGATAGCGTCTTGCCTATGCTAAACAGGATATGCAGTTGAGTACTTCCTAAGCAGGAATTACCTCAAATTTCCACCATTGCCAAAGGTCAGAGTTCCCCAGTCAAGTGACCAATCAGCCTAAACATATCAGGAATTGCGAAAGATCATAAGTAGTGTCAAATAATTTAAGTTTTAGGGATCTCCTCAAGACTCTAGCAAGCCACACAAAGATAAGAATATGTTTTATTCAACACATTCTACAAGCACCAAAATAAAAAATTACCTTCAAAGGATCATGAAATATTTTAATATTAAAGTATTTGTAAAGTATTACACATCACCTATTGCAGCAAACATATGATGATCATTTATGTTCTCTTCCTCAACTCTTGTTAAGAAATTGTGTATGATATTTTAGTGCCCATGAAAGCTTGGTAGCCAGGCAGACTGAAGTCCTCTATCCACAGAACAGACACCACAGGTTTAGGCACATGCCAAATACCCCTGAGTGAGAACACCAGGCATGGAGACAAGTGGCACACCACCTCATCTGTCACTCATGTGCACCTTTCTCTAACACGTATCATAATTGAACAGCACATACCAAATTCTTTATAGAATCATAGAATAGTTAGGGTTGGAAAGGACTTTAAAATCATCTAGTTCCACCCCCCCTGCCATAAGCAGGGACACCGCGCATTAAACTATGTCGCCCAAGGCTCTGTCCTGAAACTGACTGCAGCAGTTTCAGGCAGGGACAGAATATATATACACTTATACCTGCTACAGAATTTAAGTAGGCAGAACGCTCTTACCCAAGTTGGAAAATTTGTCAAGAACACTGGGAGTAATGTCCCTGCTCTTGTGAAAAGTGCCACATGATTTTTAATTTATTTCAACAAATAATAATTACAAAAATAAGTCAGTAGTGCCTGTGGTTTTAGAATTATCTTAAGCATCTGGTATTTTGGATGGATGCAGATCTTGAAAGAGTAAAATAAAAATCCTCTCAATACTCAGTCCCATACCTGTATCAGTGAACGTCAGCATAAAACCTGTATTTTTTTAATGACACCTTTTATTCTTTCCTAGTGCCACAGAAAACCCTTCCAACTGTTGTAAACATCTCTCTGGAACATGAGCCTTGCATTCCAAGATATCCCAGCATATAAATAAGCCTCTATGAAGACAGTACCACTAGAGACCTAGGATGGGACTGGGAGTCTGCTTATACGGAAAAGGTAAATCTGTTTTTATTCAATACTCAGTTTTCTAAAATTTTCTTTTCATACTCTTATTTTATACCCTATTGGACATAAAATATGAATACTGAAAACTTCAGAAAACTATTCAATATTTAATAAAAACAGATACTTACCCTTCCCCCATTGGCAGACTCCCTCCTCTGGGGCTGATATTAGAAGCTATCAACATCATGAGCACAGTCCATGTTGGGATGCCTCAGAGGGGGAAGACTACAACCCTGGGGGGAAATGAAATGTTGAATTAAAGAACCCCTTTTCCTGAAATGCCATTGCTGATACTGGTTTTCAGATCTGGCAGCTTCTAAAACTGAGCTTCCTCCCTGCCTATTTCCCATAATCAGTTATTATGAATCAGAAACACACTTCTTTTTTTTCCCTACCTGACTCAGTTACCTGACTCTAAACTTCTCTTTTAGACAACAGCCTCAAAAATTCAAGTAAGAGAGCTTTCCTTGGATGTCTGCAAGTTTCCTGCACTCCTCCAACTACCTCCTCTTCCACACTGTTATTCTCTGCCACAATCTTTCACACACTATTTCTAAGATCACCTCTTAACACCCCTCTTGCCCATTTAGCTGTTTTTCCAGCTTCCCAATCTTTTTCCTTCAATCTGAAACCACCAGAAACAATCCTGCTTTCCCATACTCCTCACACCACCTTCCAAATTCTTTACTGACCTCATGAACCCTTGCACTTCAAATTCAAGTTCCAAACCATCAACTCAAAGCCTTTCCAGAAATTTTATTCCAGCCTTCACCTGAAGGTTTTCCACCTGAATGTTCTTTTCTCAAGACTTGCAATTTCTTTGTGCTTTCTTTATCAGCCTCTTGATACTCATAATTAAAACCAACAAAATAAAACCCCCACAAAAACAAAAAGTGCTCTTATTTAAATAAAAATAGTATTTTAAATACTATTACTAAACACTTCAGCACAAAAAATTGACAAGGACAAGCACAGGATAGGGCTACCTTGCCTCTAGCCTGTGGCCATTCTTGAATTAGAACTTGCACTGACCTCAATGTAAGTGCTGCTCATGTTGGACTAGAAATTGCAGAGAGGACTAATTTCAACCTAGGAAAATAATGGAGTGGTTTCAAACAGGACTTCATTCAAGTCTCTTTTCTTAAACATCACTAGAAAGGTAGACAAAGACCAGCCAGAACCAGAGTGAACCATTCTTGCCTGCCTGAGAACACAACCATACTGTACAGGGGCATAATGAAAAAAATACTTGTTAAGAACAAATACATCAACATCTTGCTTGCTAAGCTGTGTTGCAACCTTGCCAGCCACACAGTGAAAATGGGACGAATTTTTAGAGGTCGACTTACGACATGAAGGTGACAAAATGACTGGTCAAAGACAGTCCCAGACAGTGGTACTCACTCAAGGGAAAGTTGCCAATTACCACAATTTCACTTGCTATTCTTTTTTAGATTTTGCTATGCTTAATACCTGTCACATGCAGCACTCCAGTGCTTGGGAAGTGAATGGATATCCCTACATAATTTTTAAGATAGACAAAAAGCAAGTATGATAAACTGAGATCAGTACTTTATAAATACCTTTGGTGGTGCTGCTTAGTTTCACCCTCTTGCGCTTGCCCACACCTTGGCTACCATCCTGGTCCTCCTGAAGAGTTTAAAAAATTGATAATGGTATATTTAGAATGCTATTGCCAAGAGATGGTATGCTCTTAAAATTCTGGTTTAACTATCAAGCTAAAACAGAAAATCCCCAAATACACTCTTACCAGAAAACTACTTTTACTGTTCACAGGAACCAGTGGACTCCATGCAACTCAGTAGAAAAACAAGCACATCTTTTTTAAATTGCCTTTTTAACCCTACAGGCAACATTATTATCTGCAAGTTCAGACATCTTCATCTATTTAATTAATTTCATAAGGTTTCTTGCTTTGATTTCTGAAACTGATTGCTACAAAAATGTTTAGCACTACAAAAAACTTAACTGTTGCACATCCAAGGTTTCACCTCATTCATCTGTACAATTTGGGGTTTTTGCTTCCCAAAAGAAAAATTAGCCAACATGTTGACTGTTAGAGTTGGCAACACAGGCAATTAGCTATACATTTTCTAATCAATATGAAGTTTTGATGCAAGAATGAAGTATTTTTGACACCTTTAAGAGGTCAAGTCTAATTGCTGAATTCTAACTGCTTGTTCCCTACAGAATAATGGAAACACTTTACACAAGCACTTGTCATCTGAAGCTTTCAAGGCACTCTGCAAACAGAATATTAAAGGTTCCAAAATGCAGTGCAAGTTAAAAACATCATCACCACCACTTTACAAAATCTAACACTAGGTGTTATAAAAGAATGTGATATTACAAGACTATATTAAATGCTGCATGGATCTTCACCAACAATGGTAGTCCTAATCCAACAGTGGAAATAAAGATTCCTACTGGATCGAGTAAAATTAGAGATAATTAATGCAGATACCTACTATTAAAACTAAGTCATCAATATCATTCTCCTCTTAGCAAATGCCGTATTTTATTCCAAACTTCACTACAATGATAAAGAACCTGATACTCAGGAAGTTATTGTCCTTCCCTGGGGAGAAATTCATATTTTATATCCAAGAACTGACCAAAAGTTTCATATTCATGAAAAGCCTGTATTTTCCTATCTTTTCAGTACCTTCATCTGAAGATTCATTTTAAGATGGACACACATTTGAACTTTTAGGTGTCCTGTGGTCTTTGTGAACACATGCTACTTTTGCACTGCAACTGGGAGCCAGTCAATTCTGAAGAAGACTGAAGAAGAGGCACCTAAATTCCTGTAGCTAGAAAGTTGATAGCTGGAAGTCTCAAGACTGCTTCAGCAGTCTCAGTTAATCCAGAAAATTCTTAGAGGGGCCTTAACCAGAAAATAATGCGTTTGTGTATACCATTTGTGATTAATGTGCTGGATTATAGCCTCCAACATCACTGCTCTGGCAAATAAAATGCAGTATGAGAAAAACATAAACATCTAACAGTCTTTATTGCAACTTTTGAAGTTATTTTAATAAAAAGAAGAAAAATTGAGTGACTTATGAGAAATGCTTTTGTGAGAACTCTCTTTTTCCCCTCCACAATGTTAGACAGTTGGCTTCCATTGCTTCAGTAAGGTAGGATTACATCTTAATGTCAGTGCAGGAGTTCTAACAGCCGTGAGATTGAGAGTGCTAGGTCACATGGTGTCTGACAAGCCCAGGGATAAAAAGTAAGAGAATAACTAAGCAAAACACCTTATTTTTACCCATTGGACAATGCTGTGTAAATATACCTGGATAACAGCAAAGATCTATGTAGGTTTATTTAACATAATATTTAGCAATATGCCTATGGTGTGCCACATCTGTTGTAAAGGCAAATAATAAACTTTAAATATTATATACCATAAATTGATTTTTTATGATTACATTAAACAGCAATTGGAGCCAATAAGTGTATTAACTGAGTAATACAGCATTCGGTGCTCAATACACTACAAGGGCAGCCAAAAAGAGATGTCCAAAAAGGTTCATTCGTCACTGTGGTAAAAGTGATTCCTCAGAACATAAAAATTTCTTAAGTAGGAGGACAGGTTTAGACAAGACTTTTTTTTCTCCTTTTTCACAAAAGGAAAACATGAGAAAGAAAAGCTAACAAAAGAAACTAATGGTGAGTTCTCTACACAATACTACAGGATGGAACAGAAACCATCTGAGAAATAAAGCACAAGTGAGCCTATACTACTGGGTGGGAGGAACAACCCACAACAATCTCAGGATAAATCGATCCTTCAGATTTATTTTTAGCTTAGAACCATCTACTATTGTAGAAGTGAAACTAACTACCAAACTATGCAAAACTTTTCAAGCTATTTTGTACCCTGCAGAAGCACTGCTCTAATTTGTAGCCTATGTAAATTTTGTAATCTAGCCTTTCATCTGTGAAACAATGCTACATTTAAGACTCACTTGGTAAGAAAAAACATTAACCTTTATAAATTCATCTTAAATACCAGAGGAAGAAAATCCAGTTAAAAGTGTACTCTTGCCACACTTCTTCATTAGAACACAGTTTTACTCTGCTATAAGAGAGTATAAAAAAGCATTACAAAAGCTCTATATACTCTTTATGACTTACAAGGGAGGGCAGGGTAGAGGAAGAGAAGTCAAAACAAGGTAACTTTTTTCTGCTTTCTCGAGTAACATTTTTCTAATAAGCATTTCAGCCTTCTACCTGCACAGTTCTGGTTTGGCTTTTGGATGAAAGGACTGGACTTATTTTCAGCAATTCATATTTGTCAAGCAGACCATTATTAGGAAAAAAACTGCAAATAAAAAAATCACTTTCCCCAGAGATGCCACCAACTGAGGGTTGACATTATTTTTAATTGCATCCCATACTGTATCAATGTGATTTTATTGAAGATACGAAAGGAAAATTCAGAAGTGAAAATACATACTAAGAAACATCTCATTTTTGAGTGCTTAATGTTTTAGCTGTATGTTACTTCCTCATTCTTTTTTACAAATTTTCTAAATAAAGATTTCAAAACAAGCTCTTGTGCTTTTTTACAATGTACCTTAATAATTTAATTAACATTTTAAAATTGATTCCAGATATGTGACTGTATGTAGAATTTCAATCTAGGAAACTCACATCTGCAGTAACATAATAAAATACCTTTTTACCCTGGAGATCAGAAAGAAAAATCTCTACACAATAGGTATCTTTAACTATCAAGTTATAATGCAGTTGCTGTAATTCCTCCCTTTTTTTTACTCTTCAAATATCTTTTCCTTGGGGAAAAAAAAAAAAAAAAAAATTTCCTTATAAAAAAATTTATTCTCCCTAAAATCCATCTGTCTCTGCCTCCCTCTTGGACTTCTGTCACAAAAGAAATACCAGCAATATCCAATCTCTCTTCAGACTCTGAACAATTTCAGTTTATTCCCCTCTCCTCATCACTTACAGGAGTAAAACAGAAAGAAGCACACTGAGCCATTGAAAGTTTATTTGGAAGTACTACTTGAGGTTATTAACATTAACTTAAATTACCTTCTTCTTTCATGGTCCTTAAAAGTGACAGTCAGCAGTCTTTTGTGGTTGGTTTTGGGTTTGTTTGGGTTTGTTTGTTTATTTGTCAAGTGATGGTGAAAAAACAGCAAGCAATACTTTGAAAAATGCCAAATTATAAATAGCACTGCTGAAAGCGTAACAGATGCTGTTGTGCTCGTGACAGAGGCAAACAAGTAATACAACTGTTTTAGACATACACAAACAATTGGTTTGACTTCAATACTTGTTCACACAAAATTCAACATAAGCAAAGATCCTACAAAAACTACACTTAGTATTATTTCAAGTTTGTTATACTACCCTACAAGAACGGCTGCCAAGACTTACTAGTTGAAATTGGGTTTTAAATAGTAGGAGAAAAAAACCCAAACCAACACCTGAGAATAAATTGATACAGTAATTCTACCTGAATTAAACTTCCCTCCTTAAATTTCATGTATTTATTACAGCTCAATCTTAAAGGAGATTCCCTCCTTTTCACTCCCACTCAATGTGTTTATTAAGTAAGGTCAAGTCTACACATGGGAATTTATCTACAAAGAAATTCTCACTGCTGCTATCACCAGTTCAGCTGGATTCTCAAGTGCCAAAAACTGCTAACACCATTCACAGAATCACATGCTTTAAGTTAGCTTTAACCAAGCCCAATTTACTTGATAGTGATTTTTGAACTACCTACACAAGTTTCTTCTACATTACACGCATATATTAAACTGAAATGCTATTTGCAAAAAGAAGGATTTTTCAAGAGGTCCTTAGTAAATCAAAGGCATAATATCTATTCATTTATATCTCAATTATTTCTAATCATTAAAATTGAGAGAATATGTGGTAGATAGAAGAGTTAAGGTTTGTGGGATTTGGCTGCAAGCATTCTCTCCATTTAATACTCCATTGCAGTTCATTATAGTCTTTAAAAACAGTCTCACCTCATCTGAAGAATCCCCTTGTCCTGATGTTGCTGTAGCACCTGCTAAACCTTTTGAAATAAAAAAATTCAGATATTCCTTTTGAAAGTCTTAAACTGAAACGAGTTTATGATATTTAATGAGCCAGTATGAAATGAAACACTACATTAACTTTTTTTAAAAGATACACAGCAGTGGACTGAGAAGTTGGAGTAAGATTTCCAATCAAAACAAAATCAATACAAACTTCAACATACTGAGTTAACGGAGATGTGTTCTTTCAGAAATTGCAGAAAACTCTGATGGCCTTCAGTGATGAAAAAAAATCCACAGCACTTTTGCAAGAATAGGGGGCTTAACTTAGTTGCAGTGACAAAATTCCACTATGAGCAATTTCATCTTGCCTACTCAAATTCCACTAATGCTATGACTGGGAAATGATGCTTAGTATATTAGCAACAAAAAGTTAATATGTTTAGCTTTGTTGACACAATTAAAATGAGTCCTCTAATTTGGAGGTGCACTAAATAACAGGTGAAAGCTTAAGTTTCAGTAAGATTTGGTTTGGGTTGTTTCTTGTTCGTTTTGTTTGTTTTAAAAAAACTAAAAAAACAATTTACATAAAAAGCAGCAATAGTAAAATCTTCTCAAGGTATTTTTCTACACAAACCTTGAACTGATAATGTGCTAGTTCCAGCTCCTTGTTCCTGCATACCACATGCAATTTTATCCTCAGGAAATGCCAGTCCAGAGCCTTTCAAAGCAATGAGGTACTTTTCATGACTTTTCTTTGCACATGCATTCTCTCCAACACCTTGAATACATATGTAAAACAGCATTAATGTACAACAGCTACTTGGTTCATATACTCCATATTCAATGAAAGCAATCTAAAAAAATGGTCCACAATGTTTTAATAAGCTATATAATTATGAGATGTAAAAGCTAAGAAGTTTTTCCAGCTAATGAACTGAAATCAAAAATACTGGAAACTTCCACAGTTTTTCCCCTCCAACACAGTGTTTTCTTCTAACTGATGTACTTCATTTCTATCTTACCAGCACTGCCACCATTAACGCTAAAGCAAAAAAAAGATTTGGTTGGTTTTGGACAAAAAGGACAGAGACCTACAATTTCCCATGGGGAGTAAAAATAACCCAACAAAACCCAGTAATGGTAATACACCATATATAATTTCTAATATTTGGAATTTTTCTTTCAAAGTTCAAGTTCTGGTAGCTGCAATTAATGGTGACTATTCATAAAGGTATCATAATTGCAACTGTTTGATGAAGCAAAGTCACACTGAACACTCAGGATATAAAATGTTCCACAAAGAAATGGACCAAAAAACCCCAACGCATTTGTTATAGGGGGGAAAAAAAAAACAAAACGAAACAAAACAACTTTAGAAGAGCAAATTCTGCCAAGTGTTGAAGGAAAAGAAAACATGAAAAAAATGATGCCATCTTTTTAGCTGTGCTCCTTTTGCATTCAAAGCCAGGACAGGTTTTGCTCTAAAATCCCTTTTTTTCC